GACGTGCCTTGATGCCTTCCTGCCTTGGAATGCGTCCTCCGAAGGCAGCATTTTTCAGTTTTCGGATGCAGCCGAAGTGTGGAATGTTGAACACTTCATGCACTCAACTGTCGCAGCTTTAATTACGTAGGGATGGGGGAGGGGCTATCAGACTCCGTTTATGAATGTCAAAATAACCTTATATAATTCATACACTACATGGTTGAGTACATAAGTGCATAAGTACATAGTGTATAAGTGCATACCCTTACGAAAAAGAAGTTTATTCAAGTGTGCTATTAGTATTAAAGTTTACTACTGTTATACTTAAAAGTATACTTTTATATATTAGAAAGTGGGCCAATTTAGTCCCAAGGAGTATTGAAATAGTACACTTACAAGTATACTACTAGTACACTGATATTTGTATACTTGCTACATAAAGTATACTTAAAAATATACTTGAACTTTACTTAAGTATACTTACTAAAATAAACTTGAAGTATACTACTTTTTGGTAAGGGTAGTGTATAGTGCGTCATTTGGGACGCAGCTAGAGTTGCTGTAACATTCCGAGGAGCTGTAAAGTTGGCAATAAATTTGAATCATTGTTTTAAAAAAAAAAACAATGAGGCATGCACAAATCTTTGCTACATGTCAAATTGAACAGATTTTTTGTATCAGTTTGCATTCATAAGGAACATCACAATGAGTGTTTACACATCATAACCAACAGATGGCAGTGTTGTTTAAACAGTTACAGTAGCTTCTTCAAAGCACTTTGATCTCATTTTGTAATGGCTTGGCCCACATGGAATCTGCCAGTTTTGATGCTGTAATATATAATTATATATATTGCAATATCGCCCGGCCCTAAAACCGCTTCATGTTAATGCTTTATACTGTAAACATGACATAACATATATTTATTTATTATGTATTATTTTATTTATTCTGTTCATCATATAAAGATAGTATATGGCCACAAAGATATATATTTTTAATAAATTACAGATAGTAATATCCATATCCAACAATCAAGTAATTTAAATATTCTAAAAATGAAGAGTATTTCATCCATATCCAACAATCAAGTAATTTAAATATTCTAAAAATGAAGATGATTTTTTTTTTTTTATTATTTATTTAATTTTTTTTGATGGATGGATGGATGCAGTCCAAACCAAAAGAAAAGATTATTCATAAAAAGCTGCTTCGCATTTTTTAACACATTTGAGTTACAAACAAAAGACTCAAGACAGTAATGAAATATCAATTTGACCGGATTGGCCACGTTTACAGCCGTTGAACATATAGATCCCTATGTTGGTGTGACCACACATTAGCAAGTTGCAGCTTTGCTTGGCAACCATAAACCACCTACCCTTACACAGTGTCTACATCAGACATGTGTCAAAATGAAATCACACCTATAAGCTATAAAGCTTGTTACAGTTTGCAGAGTAGCAGATGTCTCTTTTATTTTTATTAAGTTTATTTAGTCCCTTATTTGTATTTATTTTGTCTTGTTAAACATCTTTTATGCAAAATGTCTTATTCAGGACAGTATTCATTAAAAAATAACATGCATTTTGTATGATCCTTCTTATTTTGTTAAAATAATGAACATTTTGCAGATTCTGCAAGGTGAATGTAATTTTTTGACCACAACTGTATATCATCACACTGTCTAAATCAGGAAAAAATAGAGTCATACAGGTTTGGAAAGACATGGAAGTGAGTTTCATTTTTTTAGTGAGCTTTTCCTTTAAACTATTAGTGATAAACATAACGATAATGAAGCTGATGATGGTGATGATGAAGAAACCAGCTCACCATTCGTGTCCTCTCATCTTCCAGGTTCTGTAAGACTCCAGCAAACTCCTGTAGTGATTTGGCTTTGAAAGAAAATAAATAAGACTGGTGATCACACACAACATCTTGACCACATTAGCTTAATTTGCATCTGCAAGAGCTGAAGTCAGTCATTTGTCATTTTATAATTCACAACGGACACCCTGAGATTTCAAGTAAGAAATTGTTATTCAAAACCGAGCCAAGATCAACACTTTTCACAGCACAACTCTTTAAAGCAAAATTGTGCAATAAGGTTTGTGTTTAACATACAAGACTGTGTGACAGCCATGAGAAGGTGTCAACACAGAGCTAGCATGCGATTAGCATTCTTACCAAAAAAACAAAACAAAAAAACAGTGGCCAAATACCAACTTCTGCAAAGACTATATTTAACACCTATGACAAAAAAAAAAAAAAAAATCTAGGCGAGGAAAAAACTGTGAGGTGCAAACATGCAGTGTTGTGTTGGGTATTGTGCAAAAAAGACCCAGCATACTTTTTCACTTTAGCATACTTTTAAAAAGAGTACTTATTACAGAAATAATATACTTTAAAAGAATATATATGCAAACTGAATGTAATATTTTCAGACACATACTTTTAAAAAGAGTACTTATTACAGATATAATATACTTTAAAAGAATATATATTCAAACTGAATGTAATATTTTCAGACACGCCTGCATGTTATTTACAATTAAAATGTATTATAGTTTAAATATATATTTAATGGAATTAATTCAATGTAAGAGAGCTTTTTTGACCCATTTAAGTAGGACTTAAGTGCATCTTTATATGCAATTGTGACCTGTGCTGGCAAAATGAGTCACAATGAGCAAATTTTCAAAAATGAGTTATTTTTATTTTCACATTCCTTCAGAACGATGAATGATTTGTTGGAATCGGACGAAAAATGACTGAGCTACACCCGACATTGTATGTGTCAAAATTATTGATTTTTCTTTTATGCCAAAAATCATTAGGATATTAAGTAAAGATCATGTTCCATGAAGATATTTTGTACATTTCCTACTGTAAATATATCAAAACTTAATTTTTGATTAGTAATATGCATTGCTAAGAACTTCATTTGGACAACTTTAAAGGCGATTTTCTCAATATTTTGATTTTTTTGCACCCTCAGATTCCAGATTTTCAAATAGTTGTATCTCGGCCAAATATTGTCCTATCCTAACAAACCATACATCAATGGAAAGCTTATTGATTCGGGTTTCAGATGATGTATAAATCTCAATTTCGAAAAATTGACCCTTATGACTGGATTTGTGGTCCAGGGTCACAAATACTCAAAAGTAATGGTGACACTAGCCTTTCACTGCTTAGCACTAGTATTTATATCATAACTAAAGCAGCTAACTCATAAAACCTCTAAAGATACCCAACCTCAGACATACAGTGGATGCATTACTAAAAAAAAAAAAAAAAACGTCCAGATATAATAAAGTTTTCATGTTCGATTTCATAAGGAACAAGGTCAAGAGGAAGTAAAAGACTACAGGCCTGCAAGGCTGAAATTGAAGATGAGATCAGAAAAAAGGCAAGTCAATACATGTTCCTTCTTCAGATTCAGCCAAGCAGGATTTCAGCAAGTTTCCATGTAAGGTGCCAGGACTTACAGAAAGCCACAAAAATTCCCACAGGTTCCAACACTTAAGCCTTTGATGCCACACCATCAAGAGGAATTATGGCAGATACATAAAAGTTGAGCCGAAGCCTTAGTTTAATTGTGGCATAGTAGGGGCTAAATGAAATGGTCCTGTGGACGGCGTTCAGTAAAACCTGTCTTTTTGAGTTAAAAGCTTGTAATGAATATATCGTGTAAGACCTGGAGTGGGATCAGATGACCATGGATCATTTTGTACTCAACCGATGCACTTCAAAGAAACAATGATGAAACTGGTGCTTTAAGGTTGAGTTCACATGCTTTCTACGAATGTCCCTTACGTTTTGGGGTTTAAAACTGAAGTATAATCTTGATGATAGTTTTTGCTTCTTCCATAACACTAAGGAACAACAAACACTCAAAAGA